TATACAATTACATAGAAATATGGTCCAGCACTTCTACACTTGTACGTACCTTAGAGAAAAACAGAGATTTCTATAAATACCATCAAAAATACAGCCTAAGTTTCAAGAAAGACAAATACCACAAGGCAGTCCAAGAGTATTTACAGAGACAATTGAAGTACTTATAACACACTCAGGCCTGTACAGCAATCAAGTTATGTTTGAACACACTATTTCAGCAAATCCAGTAAAACTTCATTAGGATAGTCTAATGTTGTGTATGAGGATGTGATGTCTGACCAGTTTCTAGCCAACCTTTACTTCCATGAGAAGTTACCTCCTAGGTGTCATTGAATCACATAACAAGTGGAACGACTTTGTCCTGACATTCAAAAATGAGAAACAAACTAAAGCAAACCTGCACTTAACTTAGAAGGCAAGTTTTGATAATCTGCTAAATCTCCAAGCCATCTTTAGCTTTTTTAGAAACATGTTTCTGAAGCTGAATCTTTTTCTTCTGTTCTTCAATCTTGGACACCCTTAGGTTCATAAAATGGAATGTCAAACAGTGAGAAATAAAAGAATCTCATCAGAGATCCTTCCATTCTTTCTTGCTGTTGACAATGAATAAAGATTCCGGAACCATGGCAAGGAGAGAAGACAAATGAGAGCGTCAGAAAAGAACCTGTGTGATTTTACCCTAGAAGTTCCTGGTCAGACCATGATAGGTGGGTTGGAAAAACATAAAGCCTTCTTTTGGGAGAAGAAACATTCCTGAATCAAGTAGAATATTAAAGTATCCGGTAATGACAAATCCACAGAAGATTAAAGCCTTATGTGTTACTAAACACTATTAACAGAAAATACACCCCAAAATGTAGATCCATAAAATGGAAAAAAACCACAACTTATTTAGGTATGTGCTTTTGCTTATACTTGTTGGTTGATGACACAGGAAATTCTATTATCCAGCGTTCAATTTATTTTTCCCATTTACCCAGAATAGTAATTGTTAATATAAAATACATGAACTTTGCAGTGACATTTACAAAAAGCGAAAATTTATTCTGTTTACTTCAGTGAGGTTGTTTTTGATAGGAAACACAATATGAATCTTTTAAAAGCAGTGTTTGCACATTAGTACTGGGTTTTTCTAGATCATAAGAATATTTTCTTTCTTTGAAAAATTAAAGTGGAGCTGGGAAGGTGGCTCAGTGGTAAAGCGCTAGTCTTGCATGCCTGAGGCCCTGGGTTGGATACCTCAGCACCACATAAGCAAAAAGAAAAAGCCGGAAGTGGTACTGTGTCTCAAGTAGTAGAGGGCTAGCCTTGAGCTGAAGAACTGAGGGACAGCACCCAGGCCCAGATTTCAGGCCCCACGACTAGACCCCAAAAAAGAAGAGAAAAATGTAAAGTGAATTTATTATAGCCTAAGTGTTCATATTCACAATACTTAAGATGAGGAGTGTTACAAATTTCAAAGTGGGATATTTTCTGTGTGTTTTGGGATTTGGACTGTCCTCATCCACATTAGTGACTGAACAATCTGCCTTAAAATTGTCAAGTTTTCTATTTCATCTTATTTCTATTTCATCTTATATTATAGAATATAATCTGAATTTAAAAGAGGACATTGTAACTAGGCTCTCATGTCTAATGGCTGTAATCTTAGCTTCTCAGAAGGCTGAGATCTGAGGAAAGTTAATATTATCCCCACCTTTGCTCTTCAGCCCCACCAAGACTTGAGCTCTTCCCAGACCTAGAGTTCCCTCCATACTGCTGACCACTCCCTCCTTCTACCCACACCTACCTGAGCATGTACCTGCCTAACTTCTTGCCTCCAGCTCCTGTTGCTACCTGAAGACAGACACATGCATGTGCTCCCTCTCCTAGGAAATATGGTCCTTCTACTAAACCTTATAATAATCTTTCTCCTGTGCCTGCTTGTAGTACCCTGGGATGCACATGATGGATCTCTACATGGATCACAAAATGAAGCCATTGGTAAAACAACGTCTGAGAGACTAATCTCCAATAAAATAGCCAAAGTAGCTGGAAGGGGAGGTGTGGCTTAAGTGGTACAATATTATCATTGAACCAAATAATTTCATGGTCATTTTCCAGACCTTGAGTTCAAGTATCAGGACAAGCCCACACATATCAAGGTCATTGTATTGTATTCAAATTATATTTTAACAATTAAATTGGAATACATAGATAAGAATTCTCTCTCTCTCTCCATTTTTGTTGGTTGTGGGGCCTGAACTCTGAGCCTGGGAACTGTTCCTCAGCTCCTAAACTCAAAGCTAGCACTCTACTACTTGAGCCACAGTGCACTGCCAGCTTGAGGAATCAAACTCAGGGTCTCATTCATGCAAAGCAAGCACTCTACCACTGAACCACCTGCCCAGCCAGTCTCTCTCATTTTAAGTTATGTAAAATAGACTAATTATATTAATGGAGAAATTGTAATTTGTCAAGAAAGGACACAATCATTGGAGTATATCTGTGCCAGGTGCATTTTGAAAGTTTCAAACACCATAGGAAGTGCAGAGGGTGAAAAGAAGATCACTATGTTTATGTAAGACATATTCAAGGAATGTTTACCATTCATTGGCTTCAAAGCACAAAAACCAAGTTTATAAAGCCACATGGGTGAGTACCAGAATCTCTAGGTTCAGTCTGTAGACTCTCCTTGTCTAGAGAGCCAGAGGATTCTCAGCCAGTTTCTTGCACCTGCAGGAACAAGTGCTAATGGCAGCACAATTCCATTAGGCCATAGAATATCATCAACCTCAGACTGGGGAAAGATGGGAAGGGCAGACTTTGGCTGGCGATTCAGATTGCTTCAAGTTACAGCTCCCAAGTTCCTCTGAAGAAGAGACACTGGGCTTCTTCCTTTTGGCTGACTATGGAATGCAAAGCTGTACTTCAGAGCACTTCCAGCAGCAAGGCAAAAGGAAAGAAACTTGAATTTACAAACTAAAAACACCAACAGTGGCCAAGTAGGTTCAAGAGCCTTATCCCGGCCCCCCTCCACTCTTTCAAAGGATCTGTACCTCAATAGAAACTACAATTCCCATAACATGATGCATTCAACTAGAGGAAGTAGGCTTGTTACAGGATTTGGACTGACACCAGACACGTTGTCCTAAGTGTGCATGGATGCACGGGGACCTTTCTCTCCCAACTGCGGGAACTAAGGTGAGTTTCTTCTTGAAAAAATCAGTTTACCTCCTGAATCATTGTGAGATCAACCAAAACAAAGAAATGTATTAGGATCATTAGATAATTTGGCTTTTTAATTCTTAGTTTTATTAATGTAATTGAGGTTATGAGACTCCATGCTTATTGATTTTGTTTTTATTCAAAAGTATTTTCCTCTGAATATAAATTAGGTCACTGTTTTGCCTTAAAAATTTGAATATCTCCCCTCTCTCTTTAAAAAGGTATTTGCATCTGGGTGCCAGTAGCTCATGCCTGTAATCCTATGTACTAAGGATGCTGAGATCTGAGGATGCTGGTCCAAAGCCAACTCGAGCAAGGACATTCAGGAGCTTTCTCTCCAATTAACCACCAAAAATACGGAAGTGGCCTTGTGGTTCAGGTGGTGTAGAGCTCACCATCAGCAGAACAGCTCACAGATACTGCTCAGGCCCAGAGTTCAAGCCACAAGATCAGGTATTTACATACACTTAGCTGATTGATTCTGGGATCATTTCCCCCTTCTGTAATATATATATATATATATATATATATATATATATATATATATATATATATATATATATGTGTGTGTGTGTGTGTGTGTGTGTGTGTGTGTGTGTGTGTGTGTGTGTGTGTGTGTATTATTATATATAATATATATTTTAATATATTATAATATATATATATATACATATAAATGAATAAAATAGCAGAATTTTAAAGTAGACATACTTTATAATCTTAGAATTAAATAAATTGGTCAAACTCTACCCATTATTTTTCCAGAAACTCCCAAATTCCCTCTATGCAATTTTAAGGAGTTTTTGGTTATTTGCATATGAAATTTGCCTTTCCTTTAATATTTTTTCCCTCCTTTTGTTGTTGGTCCTATGGCTTGAACTCAGAACATGGGCACTGTCTCTGAGTATTTGCTGTGCTCTACTTGCCTTTCTTTTCTTAATTGCTTCAGGAAACTAGTGAAAAGTTTCCTCCCAGGGTTTCTAAGAAAATGGTACTCTTCCTCCAAGACTCTTCCAAAAATGGTTGTCTAGGGTGATCATGGTGAATGTGGGTGGAGATAGAGTTCAGGGTAGGTCTATGTTCATGTGAAGCTTGATAACTTGATCCAAACCAGTCTGTTTTTACATTTCTGTTTTGCATATCCTGTTGTTTTGATTTTCTACCTGCTCTCTGATCCTAGAAGTTTCTCCCTGCTAGGGGTCCTCAGAATTGTCTTTCCAACTGTATCCATTACACTGTGGAATAAACCTTTTACCTCCCTCCCTCATGTCAGACATCCTAAGCTTTTCTCTTAAGGATTTGTTGTGATTGTTGATGATCCTTTCCCCACATCATGATTGGGAAGGATTGTGTAGGAAATATTCATGCCTGATATTCAGTCCTCCCGTGCATGGGTTCTCCATGCCTCTTTTAGTGGACCTGAGCTATTCCTCATGAAAATGGAGATCATGAGGCACATTTGGCTATATAGATGTCAACTTTGGAGCAACTGTAAAATATGAAGGAAAAATAATACTTTCTTTCTGTAAAAGTTAAAAGTTCCTGAGAGGCAAAGAGGTAAAGATCAGGTATAAATCGGTGCTTCCCAGACTAGCTATGTCACATAGTTTTTGTTCAAGGGTACATTTTTCAAACATTCATTTCTAAGTATTATGTTCATTGTACTAGTAGTAATAGAATTCACTTCCTACATTATTTTTGAATTGTTCAATGCTCACAGAGTAAGTCTCATTATTTGTTATACAAATATTATATCCTCTTCCTTCATTCATCTCAATGATTGACTGTTCCAGTTGCTGAGGTAGAAGGTACAAGTATGGTACGCTATTCAGGGATAAATTATGGTTCTGACGTCCTCTGGAGGAAAAGGTGAACGAATGGAAAACATGTAGCTCATGCATAACATTTCTAGAATTCCTTTGGCAGGAGATGTGGTGCACCCCTCATGGGTTCCACTATGCCCGGAGATTCCTGTGGTTGCAATGATGCACCACCATGGAGGGCATGTGGATTATGGAGAGCCTGTGGATTTCACATCTTGTCTACTGTTGTGCTGGTGGAAGTCTTCCAATATGCACTGCATAACTGGGCTCAAGGAGTGACGTGATCAGTGGTACCTTGCTGGCAAACCCATGTTTGTCAGCCTGTTTCGACAAGCTCACCCTGTCATCTGGAACTGGCTGCTGCTGAGGCCTTTTGGAATAATGCCTGTCTCCATCCGATACTTCTATATCAGAGATGTGTCCTGTTTCATGGTTTTGTATCATTTACTGTGCAAGGTTGTGTTATGTATCCATACATGCTGGTAGAGCTAGGTATGGTTTTCAAGGGTGGGGTAGTTTTTGATACCTCTAGCAGGAACAATTGTGTTCTCACTAACTGCATAAATACTCTGAGATTACTATGCAATCACCTTAACTTATGTTGCTTGTTCAGTTGATAGAACCATTATGGTATAATAAGTTTGGGTCTATGTTTGCTATTGAGGTTTAGAGGGCTCTTAGCCACTGCTGCAGGTTTTTGGGAATATTGGTTGCCAGCATTTTTGCTACCCTAAATGTTCTTGCTAGTGCTACTACTTCTGCTGTGAACCTTATCCAAACCATATATACAACACAACATGGTAATAGTTTAGCTTGATATGTTTCTGGTGCCCTGGGATGCAAGTGGGCTTAGATAAGTTTGTGATATGTTTTATGATTTGGAAACAGCAATGATGTATATTGATAATCAAGTAGACGTGCTAAAGACCCAGTTAAAAATGATGTGACAGGGGCTGGGAAGATGGCTCAGTGGTAGAGCGCCTGCCTTGCATCCATGAGGCCCTGGGTTCGATTCTTTAGCACCATATAAACAAAAATAAAAAAGCCGGAAGTAGTGCTGTGGCTCAAGTGGTAGAGTGCTAGCCTTGAGCTGAAGAGCTGAGGGATAGGGCCCAGACCCAGAGGTCAGGCCCCATGAACAGACCCCCACCCCCAAAAAATGATGTGACATGCTAATGGTTAGTACGTCTGTGTTATCCCTCAATATGATATGGGCCAATATCCAGTGACATATTTGAGGAATCTGGCCCTTTGATAATTTTTTGTTTTGGGGATCTGGTCATAGGGCTGAACTCTAGGCCTGGGCAATCTCCTTCAGCTCTTCACCTCAAGGCTAGCGGGCTACCACTTGAGTGACAGCGCCACTTCTTGCTTTTTTCTTTTTGCTTATGGGGTGCTGAGGAATTGAACTCAGGACCTCATTCATGCAAGGCAAGGATTCTACCACTGAGCCACCTTCCCAGTCCTCCTTTGATAAATTAAGCTTAGACATTAGGCAGCTTCAGGGTCAGAAATCTGATATTGGTCAATCCACCCTATAGGTAGCACACCCTGCAGATTTAGCTGCATCAGTTCACCATTATATACAGGGATTCAGCCTGGGAAATAGCACTCCTTTTTCCATTTCTTAGGCATTTTCCTGTTTCTTGTTTTGGTATTCCTTTTTCTTCCATTCTTCCTGAGATGTAGGTTCTACTGCATTTTCCAGGCTCAGGCTGATAGACACTTGCTCAATTTACAAAATAAAAAGGAGGATTGTTGCAGACACAGAGGTGCCAGGACTGTCAAGGTGTGAGCAAAAGCTCCACAACCATGGACTGCAACCTTCAGGGCTGTAAGTACTTGCCATTTTCATAAGACGGAGTGTTCCTTTTAGCTTCTGGGCTGGGGCCTTACCTGTAGGAGTTTGGTGGACAAAGGTTGAACTAGAATGAGGAAGGAGTCACATGATCTGCAGTTGTTGCCACATTGAGTCCTAGAACAATGTGATGCAAGAACTGGACAGATATAGAAAGTGTCTATAGCTAAGGATATTGCAGAAATAAAGAGAGATTCATCATTGGCCTCGTCTCTGTCTCTTCCATTATCATCCCCTTGTTCTTCTGGAGCACTGCTGGTGTTGTGGCTGGCCCCCAGCAGTGGTAGTATGCTCACCTAGCATGCATGAATCCCTGGTTCAAGTCCTCCCTACCACATACACAGGAACACAAAATGTGGAATTGTGGCTCAAGTAGTAGGATGCTAGTCTTGAGCAAAAGAAGTTCAGTGACAGTGTCCATGCACTGAGTTCAAGCCCCAGGGTTGGGACATAAAACACAAGAAATGCAAGTTGGGTGCTGGTTCCTCATGTCTGTAATCCTTGCTCTTCAATAGGCTGAAACCTGAGGATCCCAGTTCAAAGTCAGCCTGGCCACCAACATGTGTGAGACACTTATCTCCAGTGACCACTAGAAATTCAGAAGTGTGTTGTGGCTCACATGGTAGAGTACTTGAGCTCAGAGATGTTTCCCAGGTTCAGAGTACAAGTGCCATGACTGACCAAAAAAAAAAAAAAAAAAAAAGGATAAAAATATAAGTAAATGTATCAGAAATATAGGCTTGAACAATGAAAACTACACTTCACATGTAGTCTTGGAAGTACTCCAATTCTTTCTGATCCTTTTCTCCTTGCCTCTCAGGAATTTACTTTTATAGAATGAAATTAATTTTTCTTTATTTTATTAGAGGTGCTTTTGAGTTGAAGTCTATAAATCCATATATGCCCTTTGATTTCCATTTTCATGAGGAATAATTCAGGTCCACAAAGGAGATATGGAATAGCTATACACTGGAGACCTAAAACCAGGCATGAAACTTTCCAATCCAAACCATCTCAATTATATTGTATGTAAAGGATCACCAAAAATCACAATAAATATTTAAGAGACAAGTATAGGATCTCTGAATATGAGAGAGGGAGACTGTTGCAGACCCTGGGGTGCCTACCAGGAGCAGACAAAATGTGAACAAAGGCTTCAGGGCCATTGACTCCCACCCTCAGGGCAGCAAGTCCTTGTTCTTTCTTGGTTTGAGGAAGTGTGTGTTCTAGCTGTTTGGCCTGGGGCTTTAAGTGAAGGGAGGCTTTGGTGGAAAAGATAGATTGAAGTAGAATGAGGAAAGGTGTGTGCTGTTTGCACTTTTTGGCACAGTGGGCTTAGACCAATATTACACAAGCGTTTGAGAAATAGAGCAGAATTGTGCCATCAGCCATCTCTCTGTCTCCTTAATTATTATACCATTGGCCCACAGAAGTCTTGCTTGTGCTCTGTTAGGATTGCGACAGAAGACAAAGATTTATTCCACAGCTTAATGTATAAGGCCTGAGAAGACAAGTTAGAGGTCCTCTAGATATGTAGCCTAAAGCTACTGAGCGGAACTTTTAGGATCAGAGAAGAGGTAAGAATTCTAAAGAGGGGCTGGGAAGGTGGCTCAGTGGTAGAGTGTTTGCCTTGCATGTACGAGGCCCTGGGTTCGATTCCTCAGCACTATATAAGCAAAAAGAAAAAGCCAGAAGAGACGCTGTGGCTCAAGTGGTAGAGTGCTAGCCTTGAGCTGAAGAGCTGAGGGACAGTGCCCAGACTCAGTTCAGGCCCCACGACCGGACCCAAGAAAAAAAAAGAATTCTAAAGAGATTTTCACATGCAAAATGAGAAGACAAAAGCAGACTGGTTTGTAAATGATTAAGATTCACATCAACATATACCTACACTAAACTTCATTCTTCTACTCACTTGCATTCATTTTGACCCCCAACCACTCTCTTTGTAGGAAAATCAGGGAAATGTGCCATGCTCTTAAGAATCTCTGTAAAGAAACTTTTCACTAGTTACCTGAAGAAATTATTAAAGGAAATCCAAGGAGAGCACAGCAAATGCTCACAGACAGTGACCAAGCTCTGAGTTGAAGCCTCAGGATGAACAGAAAAAGAAAAAACATAAAACCCTTAAATGAAAAGCAAAATTCAGAAACAGCCAAAAACTCATTTTCATTTAATAGATAGAATTGGGAATTTTCTGGAAAATTAATTGTTTGATTTTGCAAAATCTAAATCAACACAAGGATTATGATGCATATGCACATAACCATCTTCTTATTCTATGCCAATGTGTACATTACACTAATGGAAAATGACCCGGTATAAGTTCAGTGTCTATGAGTACGTTTGTAAGATGAGAGGGGAGATATTAAACAATGTAAAGCAAAACAGAGATATTATTTACACTCAGCAGAACACAGGCATAGAACAAAAGAAAGGTATGAGAAACACAGTCTCATAACCTCAATTTCATTATTAGAACTAAGTACCAAAAAGTCAATGCATCCAATTCTCCCCATATATATCCATTTTCTGGTTGGTCTTGCAATATTTCACAAAGGAAACAGTGGTTTTTAAGAACAAACTCAGCTTAGCTCCCACAGCAGGGAGAGAAAAGTCCCAATGCATCCAAGCACTCTTCTGACCAGAGGTAAAGCAAGGTGTCACCGAGCGTTACGGGAATTGTAGTCTCCGTGGAGGGCTTTTGGTTTGAAAGTCCTGGGTTGTTTGTTTTTGAAGGGCGGAAGTGGCGCAGAGATCCTTTAGCGCATGCATCTCCCCGCCCACCTGGGGCGTTTTAAGTCTGCCCCTTCTAGATTCTTTCCCTTTGACTTGCTGCTGGAAGTGCCCTGAAGTAAAGTTTGGCCTTCCATAGGTGGGAGCCAGGAGGCAGGCGCCCAGCTCTGTGCGGTGGAGCTTGGGAGCTGTAACTTGAAGCAATCTTAAGCTTTGGAACTGATGTCAGGTAGGAACTGTGGGATTGCTGCTGGAGTCTGTCCTCCACGGGTTTCTTTTTCTGGTTCTGTTTTTTCTTGGTCGTTGGTGGGGCTTGAACATTGGGCCTGCAAGCAACGTTCCTGAGCTCGTCAGCTCTTTATAAAGAGAGCTTTACACTTGAGCCAAAGCACCCATTTTCCCTTCCACGCTTTTCTCCACTCTGGGGTTGATAATTTGCTTGAGGTTCAGGAGTTTGTG